GATCGTATTGAAAAATGTGAAAAAAAAACATCGAAAGTCAGATGAATGACATGTGCTTACTATAACATCAGGGCGAACATTTTCCCAGTCACAAGCCAATATTCTTCCGGAACGTGCTAACCCACTTTGTATTTCGTCAGCAATCATTAGAACATTATATTTCGAGCAAAGTTCTCTTACAGCTTGCAAATAACCATCAGGTGGAATAATTACCTTAGGAAAATGTAACAGAAGCATCGTCAGAAAACCTCAAATGACTTAATAGCATTTCACTCATACAGAACTTTCTAGAAGGTATGCAAAGTTAAATCTAAATCTACACAATTAACTCAATTCTGAAAAGCACACATACCCCTGCCTCCCCTTGAATAGGCTCAAATAGAAAACCAGCAATTCGATCCCCTTTCTCTGGTCACCATAAAACAAACAAGGATTAAGTCATATAGCCAAAATAGAAAAGCAGATTTTCGGCCCAAACAACACTGATTTGTTCGCTCTAAAAACTCAATTATAAGGTTCTTTTACTTTAAAAATCAAACCTTTAAATACTGTCTCAAGTGCTGCACTATCACCAAAATCAACTTTGACGTGGCCTTGCAACAAAGGCCAAAAGCCACGTGTTGCCTCATTATCACAGCTCATAGAAATAGCAGCTAATGTTCGACCGTGAAAGCAGCCACAGCAAGAAACAATTATGGCCTGCAATTGGATCAAAAGATTTAAAGGAAATAAAAAAAAAATAAAAAAAAAGACCCACTCAAAATTATAATCACAGTAACTGAAAACTAAAAACAAAAGCTCTCAGCTTCATCTATCAGAACCACCGAAGATAACCAAAAGCTTTAAAAAATTCTAATATGTAAACTGAATAAAAAAACCGTATTCAGTTTACACTTTATAAAAGTACCTCATCTCTTGGAATTTTTTTCTTAAGATAGCCCCATTTTCTTGCTAGTTTCAAAGCTGTTTCTACACCTTCTGCACCTGTATTCATCGGCAAAACCATGTCGTACCCAAAAATGCTCGTCAGGCGTTCTGCAAATACTGGAAATTTATCATTGTAGAAAGCCCTCGAACTGAGAGTAAGCTTTTCAGCTTGGTCAACCAATGCTTTTGTGATTTTCGGATGGCAATGTCCCTGCAAAGTGATATCTTTGGCTCAGAAGTTTTTTTTCATAAAACCAACACAATAGCACACTTATACGGCAAATTGCAAAATATCATCCATGACGCTAACCAGTACAAAATAAACAAATTTCAGGTACGAATACAACATTTCAATAAGAGAAACATGATATCACTAAAGGTTTAATTTTTCAAGGTAAAACAGTGAATATACCCGGAAAAAAAAAAAAAAA